ACACCAAACCTAGTTGATATATGAAAAGTTTTAAACCCACATTAACTTTATGAATATTTTAACCCCTTCCTTCACACACAAGACTATGTATACTTAGATCCACAAATATCGTACTTTGATAAAAGATTTTGTGTTTATTTTCTGTGATATATACTTACCTGATTGGTGCAGCCATGTGACTTCCTCCCAACCTGGTGAGGAAGGAGGGAGGAAGGGAGAGACGAATCCATAACGGTTGTAACGGACCTGACACTGTACAAGGTAGTTTACAGAAACGGTCCCATTTCATGTTCAACAGACTTGGAAGGCTGATATTATTGTCTTCACTTTACAGATGGAAAAACAGAGGCTCAGAAAGTTAGAATAACTGATGCACACTCACAGTGAATGCTGCAGCTGAGATTCAAATACAAGCTGGCCCCAAAGCTCCTTTATTCCCACCAGCCCAGAGGAAATTACAGGCAACATTGGGATAGGAATAAAAGCCTGTGAGATTCTGGGGTGGCCCTGATGTAGGGAGGAAGATGCAGGTCACAGGAAGCCTTCAGGATCTGAGAAGGGCAAGGTGGAATAACTGGTTGAGGGGACTTGCTGGATGGCCTGCCTCTTTTCTGATGTGATTCATTTCCTGCTGCACTATGTCCTCACTGCCCTCACGAGAGGAACAGGTGTCCTGGTCCCTACAGTGGGAAGAGAAGGAATGGCGAGGTCAGGTGATATGCCTGTGGATGTTTGATGAATCACCTCCCAGTACGAGAATTTCAGACCTCTGATTCTGTTATCACAGCACCAGGTCAGGGCTGACTCTCCTTCCCCAACTCCCAGACTGCCCAGCTCTGAACCTGCTGACCTCCTCCTAAGGAAGGAATCTGCTGTTTGCTCCTGGGTGTTATGCGTTCCCAGAGGTGTCTTTTTCATCTTGCCAGGGGCTTGTTATTGTTTACCTGGAATTACCTTCTTGTGGAGAGTCATTTAGGGACACACCCTGTGTGACACATCACTGAGGCAAACGGCAACTGAGCTGACTTCCTGATTGTGAAATCTCCTGTCCATCTGTCTCTCTGCCTGCGTCTGGGGCTCATTTATCAGAGAATGAGCGCGCGCGCGTGTGTGTGTGTGTGTGTGTGTGTGTGTGTGTGTGTGTGTGTGTGTGTGTGTGTTCCTGTAATCTTTCTCGCAGACTTCTTCCTTCTATCCTGCTCAGCCAGGGCCCTCCTCTGCCAGAAGGCAAGATGCTGGAATAGACTGGAGGAGTAGCCAAACGAAACAGATCTCACGAGTGGGGGGAAACTGCCAAAAGATTTTTTAAAGTACCAGGAGTACCCCCTTAGAAGGAAAAGCCGATCAAAGAGGGGGACCCATCCATGGAAATGCAATGTGCCTGTCAGCAGTAGGAACCAGGTGTTTGAAAGAAGCCCCAGGCACGTGCAGGCATCTCCTGGTGTGTTAATAAGGTAGGAGAAAGGAGACCCGGGTAGATCAGAGGCAATGCTGGGCTTGGAGCGGGGTGGTGGTCGTGTGTTTTGGGCTTTTCTCTCTTATTCATAGCTCTTAGTCTGGGCTGGGGAAATTCTCTTTCATTGGTAATCCCAGGAAGAGAAAATAATCAGTGGGAGAACACCTCATTTAAGGTATATTATTTCTGGGCTCTTAAAGTTTGAATGTGATAGATGGAGGGGTTAAGGAAACAGAAGCAGGAAAAATAGAATGATAATTACAATAAAAAGAAAAGGCCTTGAATTTGTAGAGCACCTCAAGGGAAAATGAAAAACAGAATGACAACTATAATAAAAAAAGTGTTGAATCTGTATAACACCTGTCAACTGAAATCAACATGATTGTTGCATTTAATAAAACGTTTATTCAGTGTCTTCCTGAGGACCGTGGCCCTGGAGCAGCCCATCAGTATGTTCTGGTAAATTGCTCCAAAGCCCCTTTGTTTGGGAACATCTTAGATACCTTTTTTTTTTTTCACAATGGGGATGGGTGCAGGGAAGAGGTTATGTCAATCTAAAGAGGTTATGTAACGTTAAGTGTCTAAAGGAACAGATAAGGAATATTCTGATGTTGTCTATGTGTGAGAGAAGGTGGCAATCAGGCTGGCTAATTCTCCTGAAGGACATGAGAATCAGACTGGTTTGTCTTCTTTTGAGCATTCCAGGCTGGATCGCCTCTGGTCAGGAGTGAGGGGTGAGGGGGCTGTGGGTCTTGTGACATAGGCCAGAAGGGCTGCAGGGCATCTTCACAGCACCACTGGAGCTGACCTGCCTGACTTGGGCCTCTGCAGCTTGCACAGCCCTTTGCCTGTGGGACCACTGCGGGAAATCACAAAATTTCACTTTATTTCACACACCTCAAAGAAAATAAGTTGTGTTCATCTATGGAATCATATTTAAAATCTGATGCTGCTTGCAGTGTTCATGAGCACTGTATTTCTTACCTGTCTTGCAATCACTAATACAAATTGGGCTTCCTCATCTTTACTGAATATCATATGTGTTTCAGGAATTCCTGCAGACAAGTGGGAAAAAAAAAGAAGAAAAGCCTGATAACACTCAGTCTTATTGTTAGAAGACCTTTGTTTTAACAGGCTCAGGACTCTTTCTACCATTTCAAAGTACATTTCAAGCCCTGTGTTTCTAAGAGGTCGGGGTTGGGTTAGGATCAGAACAATCACAAGCCCTCAATATCTAAGAAGAGCGGAGGACAAGGGGTTCCCTCTGTGTAACCTGCCTCCTCTCTGCCTCAGTCAGGCTGGGAGAGACCTGCGAGCATAGGGCACGTTACAGGCAGTGGTCTAATTCCCTGGACTTGGAGGGTCACCAGTCTAGGGGGCTTCACCATTTACTCTTCACCCTCTCACAAGTGTGCTTCAGCAGAAGGGTGGAGCCTGGGGTGCTGTGTGGCCATCGATCCTCATGACCCTAATTCTGAGGCTGGTATCCTATCTGCTGGGGATCCTGGCCCCTTCCTGACCCTAACACTCAGTGAAAGATTGCTAGCCCTGGACACTAGACCCTTTCCCTCCAAATTAAAAAAAAAAAAAAAAGAAAGTAGCAATAGGACTGGGGTCAGATCCAGGAAAATGAGCAAAGAAAATGACCCACGATTCCATAATCTGGTGAGTACTGGAAAAAATGTCTGATTCTACCTTTATTTTCAGAATGCATTTTGAAGACAGAGGTCATTTGTCTGTGCTCTATAAGACCTTAGAGAGAACGCGGGCAGAATTACTCCCTGCATTTTCCAAATTAGGGGCTGTCTTATTTGTTGGTGCCCTTTGGTTTCAGCATTCCAGTTTCCATGATTCTTTGCAATTCCTTCTTGATACTATTCTTCTTATCCATTTGAGTGACAAGTACATGCAGGTAGGAAAGTAGTTTAAGGAGTATTGGGTATGAAACCTTGCTCTGCCATTTACTGGACATTTCTAACTCATAACTCAACTCTCTAAACCTCAGCTTTTTTCTTTGTGCAAAAGTGCTGAACAAATACCTGGTACGTTGTTTTAGTGGGACTGAACACAGGAAGGACGGCTTGCTTTTCAGATTGTTGGAGGTAGATAATTCTGGCATCCTCTAGATCTGTGCAGTTTCCGAGATCTATCTCGTTTCCAAGTTAACATGTTCATTCTGTTAAATGAGTTTGTTTGTTTGTTGTTGATTTTTGCTAGACAGCTCAAGTATGAGGATGAAGGGGAGGCAAAGAGAAGACTGTGTGATTGAGTGAGAAGGCAGACCACCTTAGCTGGGGGGGCTGCTAGCTCCTTCTATTTCACCCTCCTTGCTTTAAGTCTTTGAGGCCTCTGCCATAGCCCAGGGCTATTAATAACTCCCTTCATCCAGTGTGGTATCCTTCTGGGTAGGTGAGTCACTTGTCTACGCGAAAAGAACACACTGCCAGATCCGCTTGTGTTGATGTGCTGGTGCTAAAGCTGAGGGTGAGGCTGGTGCACCAGATTTAATCTCATCCTATGAGAACGGGACCAGGTATTATACAGAAGTCAATCAAGGAATTTCTTACAGCACAAAGGCAGACATGGTACAGGAGAATGGATCTAATTTTTAAAGGTCGGTTTGTAGATGTATTTTGGTAAGAAGAGTTTCTTCTGAATACTCATGGATAACTAGATGATTATGTCTGGGAGACTAAATTGTGCTAACCCAACAGAACTGTCACTAGTAAGAGCTGCATTATTCTTGCAAATATAACTGTTTTTGTGTGCAGAGATTGTGGGGATGTGTAAGAATTTGGAGAATTAACAGTAATACCTAGTTCAATTCTAGTTAAATCATTAACTTCTCTTGTCTCCAGACTATAGTCTTGCAAAGATTTGGGGGTAGACTTCACTCCCCATTTCTCTCTCATTGTGCTGTTTCCCCCTCTAGGGTCTCAACTCAAGAGGGAGGCTAAACTTTTTAATACTCTAATGGAAAGTCAGAAACAACTGAGAAGAGAGAAAAATAAGGGATGATAACTGCAAGTGAGGCAATAGCATTGTTTTCATTACAGCCCTGTCTGAACGGATTTGGCACTGTAGATGTCAGTATGCCTGAACCATCTGCAGAGCCTAAGCCATGGGCAAGCTTTATACATATTTTCCATCTGTTAAATATAGTTATCAGAATAAACAATTTCACAACTTCACTAGACTCCTGATTCCAGTGGCCTGCAGGACTCTAAGGAGAGAACTGGGTTTTATCTACTGAAGAATTTTACAGTCCAGTTAAGAGAAGCACCAATAACCAACATACTTTTTTTGTTTCTTAACACAGTGAGAAAACTCTATATATAATTGAAGGGGATGAGAGTATTGGTCAGAATGTACAGAAATGTTGGTCTGGAACTTCCTTCTAACAGTAAGATGGGTTAGAACCTAACCCTTAGGAAGAGTCGTCCTAGATGGCTCTGGCATCAAGCCGTGCCTTTTCTCAGCTTGACACAGTGGGCGAGCAAAGTTACGTGGTGACTGCCTGTTAACTGCAGGGAGAAAGGTGAGTTGGAGAGGAACCGTCGCGAGTGAGTCTGATCATCTTCTGACATAAGTGCTTTGATGTGGTTTCCTGTGTAGGCGTCCATGGATAGGTGGCTATGCCTGCTGTGTATACCTTAACAATTCTAAAGCTAAAGGTATAAAAATAAATTTTAAGTTACTATACATGAATATAACTACTATATCTATGTTTTGATATTCACTCATTCTTGGAGTTGTCAGGAAGTAACCAGGAGGCTGAAGAGAGTTCCATGTGCAAGTACGGAAAGCCTGTAGCTGCTCAGGCAGGCTCAATGCCACAGAAAGTTCTCTGAGCTCTTCCATCAATCAACCAACCAACCAATCAAACAACCCCTTGAAAAACTGAAGATGTTTACCTGCATCTCAACAGGGTCTTATTTCAAAGAATGGATTAAGAGAAACTTAATTTCTTGTTTATTTCTATTTAAACAACACATAACAATCAGAAGTCCCAAGATTCTAGAGAACCTTATGAGATGTCACTTCCCATGTTTATACGGGTGCAGTGTCTCATCTTTCTCAGTGGTACATCTTTTCAGTGTATCTTTGTGCAAAAAAGCTTTATATGAGTACATTATCTTTGGTATTGTGTTAGATTTTAAGTGATGAACATTTTCTCAAGTGATTAATGTCTCTGCATTTGGTTTCCACTTTATATAAACAAATCATATCAAATAAGAAGCCCATCTGTTCCGTGTAGCTAGGCAAAGAAAACCAGCCCTAAAGTCAAGAACTTAATGTTATCAGTTACTAAAAAACAAAACATAAAACATAGTGAGAGTTAAAAGAAAAAAACAAAACAAAACAAAAAACAATTCTAGACTGATTTGATGTTTCCATATGCCTCTAGCCAAACTGGAATAATTGGAGAGAGCTTATTGTACGAACATCTGGAAAGCAATTTATTGAGTGGGCCTCACCATTTATTTTATTTCCTTGCTCCAGCGTCCAATATCTTTGGGCTACAAGGTGCTAATAACCTAGCCTCTTTAAATTATCTATACACAAATGAACCTTGTTCAGGAAATGCAATAGGAGGTCATATGTACCCAAGTGATGACATTGTGTTCTGTAATACATGTGATATCCAGACAGAAGGGTATAAGCACGGGTTTGAGTCATTGGGTGTAGGTATGGGTTTGGCCATGTGCCTGCAGTTAAGCTGGGTCCACCACAAGAAGTTCTGTGTGGGGCTACATGTGCACACAGGGCTTTACATTTCCTCCTTCCGTATGTATCAGTGGGTGTGTAGTCTGGTTTCTGGGCAGAGCTCACAGGTTTGAGCTGGCTGCTGACTGACCCTTTCCTCCACTTGCACTGTGCTAAGATAGCTAATGCTTGCAGAACCTACTCCCCAGAGAGTCAAACCTGCTAAACTGGCTGCTCCTTGAATGAGAATAATTACATCTGATAATGCACTGAAAAGTAATTAAGAGGAAGGGAAAATAAGAATGAGAGAAATTTTCATATAGCTTTGGAATCCTCCTGGCTGAACTAATGTTTTATGTTCTACAATCTCCACACCACCCTCTCAAGGCTCTCTGCTCCTTCCCCTTCTAGGAATGCTTTCCCTTCCACGTGCTCTTGTGGAATTGCAGAAAGTCTCAGCTCCCTTTCTCCTTGCTTTAGGCTTATAAACTCATTGAGATGGACTTTGCTGTCTTAGTATCCATTGACTTCATTGATACAAACCCACAGATAAGAATTTCCCTTTCCTTTCTGCAGTTTTCCTCCTTCTGACTACTCCTCTGTTTGCTTGGGCTTCTGTCAACCAACCACATACCACCACCTGCCTCTCTTCTAAGAGTCGCAAGGGAATTGTTTAACTCTCATCCCTGGGCCCACACAAGCTCACGCAGCTCCAAGAATAGCAAAAAGGGGGTGAGGCTGGAGTTGAGAGGTTTCTTAACTTGTGTGTTTCAGGAACTAAGAGACTCTGTCTCAATAAGTAGCATGTGGTTATTAGTATCAGTAATAAAGCACACCACGTAGTGTAACAGAAGGCAGCATAATATGGCCAATGCCATCAATGCACAGTATAATATCATATATGCTACAATTCTGACTTTAAAATATTTACATTATCAAATCACCACAAAAGGAGATAACATATTCAGGATTACCTAGGCAGTGGATGATCGCCATATTTTGTTTCAGATCAATCAAAATTAATTATAGAATAGGCTTTGCTGATCATAAGAACCAGGAGAGACTCTACTTTCAAGGGCAAAATAAAGTTTGCAGATATATATGGAAGAGTGGTAATCAGCAGTTCTTTTCAGAGAGAAAGAACCAGGTTTTGGGAGGTGTAATTTCAAATATATGCTGATGTCACATAATTAAAAGTGATACACATGAAGGATCTCTGGCTAGGTAAACAAGTAAATAGTAACTATAGTCTACTTGAGTGGTGGGGGGATTGGGAACTGATAAATGGAGAAGGATGGGAAGGGAGAAATAATTTTACATTGAAAATTTTTGACCCTTATGAATATATTTTCTTTTTGTTTAAGAGAGAGACAGAGAAAAAGAAGATGGCTTGGTTCTAACATTCCCTTTAATCTATGTACTGGTAAGAATGAGTGTCTCTCTCTCTATATGTGATGGGAAGGGGAAGCTTTTTGGAGCTTGGAAAGCTGCAGAATTAAATAGTTTTTATTGATAAATGTTGTCTGTTCACTGGTTGTAAGAATACAGTGGGGGATGACTCAAGAAGAAAGCAAGTACATAGCTCATCTCTCTTGAAATCTGCCAACTATTTATTCATTGCCTGAATTAATTTGTGTATAAATGAAATTAAATGTTTTGTTTAACAGTGATACACAACAAAAGAAAAATTAGACCTGTTAAAAGATTATAAGGGAGGTAAATCCTTCTTGTATAACCCACAGACCACAATTGCTCAGACATGTGCTTTGAACATGAACTTGAACATTGGAGCAGGAGTTTTGGGTAGGAGGGGAGTCTTTAAAATAATTTGAGAAACAATGGCATGAAAGGATGAGACCAGATCAGGGATGTACTTGCTGTATAATAGAAATGAGAAAAATGCTAGAAAAAATTAAGCTCTTCCTGCCTGAATATACCTGATGTTTAGGATATGAATGGAGATGAATGGATGATATATGGAGATGAGTGGTTGGCTCAGAGAGTTCCAGGTAGCCACGTACTTAATAACTACTGATCTGTAGAGGTGTTTTAAAATTCTGTGTGTGCTCTATTTCATTTTTTTTTTAAGACTTCAGACTGGCTTCATCCTTGGGAATTCTTCTCTGCCGTGCTGTGCATTCTCTGTGGGTCAAACATAGACGTGGACAACTGTGCGGCAATGGGAGATGAGAGGGGCATGACCCGGAAGCTCCTGGAATGCAGTCTCAGTGATAAGTTGTGTAGTAAGTACAGATTCCAGAGATGACTATCTTCTGATTTTAGGATAATGGAGACTAAGGTCTGGACAGATTCTAGAAGGATGAGTTTGATTTCTAGTAGAAAAGAAGACTGTTGATTAAAGAATGGGCACTAGAGGCCACTGTCGTTGTAGGGGGCAAATGCCAATCCGAGACCCAGATGCTGCATCCTTCATTTCAGCAGGAAAAATGAGAGAAGAGGCACGGAGCACATGTGATGGGCTAAGAAACAGCGACTTTGGGGTTTCTGATTAGAGAGTTGCTCCCAAGAGTACTTCCACTGCCTGGAAGTCCAGGGGAAGAGGGAAGAGATGATCGTGTCAAGTATGACGAGCTGAGGACTGGCAGGTGGGGGAGGCTGTTGGCTACCAGGGCAAGCCTCATCAGTCTCTTTTCTTCCTCCCTGATGTCCTGCCTCATCTATATCTCCAGTTATCCGGGAGCAGCAATATGAGATCATCATCATCCCAGCCGTGCTGGTTGGCATCTTCCTCATCCTTCTCACAGTCATCTTGTGGCTTTTTATCAGGGGACAAAGGGCCCAACGACAGTCCCCTGGACCCCAAGGTAAAGCCCAGACTGGGGTGGGACAGAGCCTCAGGGAAGATGAAGATTGCAGAAAATAAGACCATGCCTCTGTGGCCACTAGTTTGGAGGGCTGTCCCTGCAATGGGAGAGGAGGTGTGCGTCCCCTCCTGTGGGACTGAAGGAGAGTGAGCTCTTCTAGGAAGTCATGAGAAGAAACTCAATATATGCTTGTGTTAGTTGAAACAAGAGTAGGCAAGGGAGGCCTCATGTGACCTGTTCTGGCTTCTTTGTCCTATTACACTATCAGGTCTTTGGCCATATGAGTGTCTGAGCCCTGGGGAGGAAGACCTAGTGGGTCAAGTCCAAGGCTTCATTACAAGCCTTGAAGGATGAATCTTACTCTCTAATACACCCCAGCCTTGCTCTGCACCCCTGGAATATATGATGAAAAGGGGCCCCCTGCACAAGAGTCTTTGAAGTATTAAGTAGGAGACGACCTGGTGTTCTGGAGTTCCATGGAGAATACAGTGAAAGAGAATCAGCCCATACATGAAACTAAGAGTAGAAAATAGGACAAAAAGATCCTGACTTGATTGGAAACTCTGTAGTGGCTGATCCCCAATCCCTCTCTAAATTTTATCCCAATTCCCTTAAAATTCACTCTTACAGAACAACTCAAAGAAGTTGTCTAAATGTACTCTTGCTCCTTCTTGTCACATTCCCTTTTGGACATGCTAAAATAAGGCTTTTATCCCTGCCACTCCACCAGAACAGCTTTTTCCAAGATCACCAGTGGCAGCTATGTTGAGTCAGCCTCCTCTTACTGACCTGTTAAAAGCATTTGGAACAATTTTGCACTTTCTCCTTTTAAAACATGCAATTTTTCTTTTAATTCTATTGTCAGTTTCTAAATGTTCTCATTTTAGTGTTACAGTTTCAAATACTTTCTCTATTCTGATTATCGTCCCCCTTGAACTCCAGATTCTCATGTTAAACCACTGACTTTTTGGGTTGGACCTAATATACACCTCAAGTTCCTGAAGTTCCTGAAATTCCATCCTGAAATGTCCTACCCCAGTAGTTTTCCCTGACTTAGTAAATGGCAAGCCTGGTTTTCTATGTGTTCAGTCTAAAATCTTGAAAAAAAGAAAAGCATATAGGTTAAGTTAAAGTATAAGCTAGGTCTTTTAGCAGGCCAAAGTGAATCTTGCGATGGCATGATCTAACTGACACAAGGAAGACATGGGCTGTGCTCAGATTCTTTTTTTATCTGAGGAATATTTGGACATTCCAAGTTACTCCTGGCCTTTGGAGCTTCAACTGATGAACTCATTAACTCTTTGAGTCTTTTCTGGCTGTCTAGTTTTAACTGGTTAACTCTTTGAGTCTCTTCTGGTGGGCTTTACTGGCCTTATTCTTCTCTCCACCCCACTCATACCTATTTTCCTATCTAACACTTATACTGTACTGTCATCCTGAGGAAGACAGACAGGGAGTGTCATTATCCAGAGGCCCATCTTGAGTTGTCTTAGAAAGAATGGGATTATTGTAAAAGTTATGTAAGGTCGGTGTCGATGCTGGTTCACAGAGAAGCTTTAGAAGGTATCCCCCCCATTGTCCAGAGAGAAAGTTGTTAAAGGAACTTCCCTGGCAGTTCATTCCTGGCTCTTCTCTCCTGGAGTCCCTAGGACTGGGGGAAGATGATTGGTGTCATCTTTTTGTTCCAGGCATTGCCGCCGTGCCTCCATCTAGGGACCTGAACTGGGACGCAGTGGGACACGGAGGAAGTGTGTTTGTGCCACTTACGGAAACGTCAGTGGAAAGCCTCCTACGAGCCAGCACACACACCCTGGCCACGCTGCAGGTGCCCCGGGAGCAACTCTCTGAAGCTCTGGAGCAGATCTACAGTGGTAGTGGTGGGGCCATCTATCGAACCAGCATGTATACTGGGGACCCTGCTAAGCCCAAGAGTGTTGTCCTCAAGGCTTTAAAAGGTAAAAGAAGTGTCAGACTCCCTTCCCCTTTTTACTGTTCTGCCGTGAGCCCCTCACCGTGAATGCTAGAAGGCTTTGCAGACATTAGATGTTAATCAACAGATAGTTGTGATCACAACTGTGTGCAGAATAAGAAGAGAGTAGAAAGTGAAAACTTGAGACCAGTGTTCCTGGGGTCTTTCCCTAGGTCAGCCTTGCCTACAGAGGCTGTGAGAGCTGATTTTTCCATATTGGATATTACTTAGATGAGTTTCTGAGGTGGTCTCTACATTTTTCTTCACTATGTGGTATCTTTCCTGGTACTGTATTTCTTTTTTCTTGCTGATATTCATGATATGGGCCAGTAATGGTGGACCCATAAAACAGAACAAGGAAAGTCAAAAGGCTCAGCATTTTGACTTTAATGCGAACAGAATACTTGCTTATTTAGGCAGATGAAAGCCTGTTCAGTTCTAAGATCTATGATTCTGTGTTAACCTTTGGCAAAAGATCAGTGACATTGAAAATCATCTCCTAACAAGTTTCCTTTCTAGTTTGTTTTTGTCTACCCCCACTCCCCTGTGGAGCCTTGAAAATTATCATCTGAGGTTGCTTCCTGTTTTATCAGTGAAGCTCTGAAGGCTCATTGCCTCTGCTTTTTCTGTCCTCTGCAGAACCAGCCAGGCTCCAGGAGGTGCAGGATTTCTTAGGGCGAATCCAGTTCTATGAGCACCTGGGGAAGCATAAGAACCTGGTACAGCTGGTTGGCTGCTGCACGGAAGGGCTGCCGCTCTACATGTTGTTGGAGGACGTGGCTCAGGGGGACCTGCTCAGCTTTCTCTGGACCTGTCGCCGGGTGAGCAGTAGGGTACAGGGGTTAGGAGAAAAGACTTTACCTGGCTGATTAGCTGTGCACATGTTAATTGACATATGACAAAATAGAGAGACATTACAGTATGTAGCAGAGTGGCTGAGTATCACCGTGCAATACGACATCTGATGACGATAGAAACGCTCTGTCGGATGTGGTAGCCACTAATCACATGTGGCTATGGAGCACTTGATATGTGGCTGATGTGCTTGTGAAACTGAATGTTTAATTTAATTTTAAATAACATATGTTTAAATAGCCACATGTGGTTAATGGCTACCATATTGGGCTATGCAGATGTGGAGTATGAACTTGACACTCCACCTCCTACTACCTGTGTGACTTTGGGCCTGAGTTTTCTGAATCTGTAAAATGGGAATAATAATAAATGATTATAAAATTAAAATAAATTATGTATATAAAAACATAAATGTGATTGGTACATGACAAGCTAGTACTGATGTAATTTTTTTGTTGCTGTTAGTGTTAAGTGTCGTCCATTCTGTAACATCAGGCTAGTATGCAAGCCTGTCTTGAGGAGAAGCCTGCTTGTAAGTTTTCATACCTCAAACACATATTTTTAAAAATTATCACATTTAGAAATTTCCAGACTAAAAGAACAAGTCTTTTTCCTCAACATTTACCTAGTTCTCTATATATATTCCTCTATCTGAAATGCTGTGTGTTTCCCCAGTTAGTTCGTCACCAGCCAATGAGCAAGTTCAATATTAATCAGCCTCCTCAATATGCTGATTATTTTACTACTGCATATGTATGGAATAGGTACCCTGTTAACATCTTGCAGCCAGCAGTGCAAAGAGGGCAATGTGCAAATCTTGAGGCATTTTCAAGATTACCCATCTGTGCTCTAACCTCACCAGCTTCTACTTTTTGAAACTTACTGTGTCTCTGTTCTAGATCATCTTCACATGCTTTTCTCGTTGCACCAAGCTGCTTCATCTAATCAGTGTCCATTCATCTTCAGATCTCATAAAAGGCTCTCCGTGCACCTCGAACTGAATCAGTTCTTTATTCCCCACTACCGCCCCCATCATATGCTATCTTTTACATATCGTTCATGGTGCTTATAGTTATGTAACCACATATTTGTGTCTGAGCATTTGCTTTTGATTTACATGTTTGTCCCACTGTAACATCCAGACAACAGCAGACATGTTTATTTTGTTCAATTTTATATTGAGTTCCTAAGAAGTAATCTGGTACATAGTAGGCATTCAATAAAGATGTGTTGAGTTAATGTGCTCCAGGAAAACTGCTGCTTTATCCAGTGGATAGTCTTATGTGTGTATTTGTCTTTCTTATCTGCTATTCTGTTCTTCCTTCATTCTTTTATTTATTTACATTCTTTCGTGTTTTTCCAGTCCAATAAATCATTGTACTTCTCTGCATATCTGAGAATCTCTTACATCAGTCTCTCCTTGAATCTTAGGTTCTATGTTTTTGTATCTTTTCCTTAGTTTTGATATCTGCATTTAAGACAGCCTCTGCCCCTATTTTGTTTTTCAAATCTGTTCATGTCATTTTGATATAATTCTTTTTTTTCTATTTCTTTAGGATGTGATGACCATGGAGGGCCTTCTCTATGATCTCACAGAAAAACAAGTCTATCACATTGGAAAGCAGGTCCTTTTGGCCTTGGTAAGGCTGGGAAAAATGACAATAGATGGTGGGGATTTTTCCTGTTAGCCGGGTAACTGATGCAATATTTCTCATATTTAGATTCCCAAATAGGGTATATATTCTTAAGTAAATCAAGTGCCAGTAAGGGGCAGAAACTCACGCACTGATAAACTGTTTTCAGTTCTTTCTTTATGAAATTATTTATATAACATACCACAGGTTTGGTAATTCTAAGCAGGAGGTAGTCAACTTAGGGTTTTTAGAAGGAACAGGCAGTTTTTTTAAAGGGTTCCCAGTTTTAAAGGTAAAAAACCAGGACTAAGAGCTATATGTCCATTTATCTGACACTCTTTCTTCCCCATATAGGCTGATACCAACAGATGTAAAATGGGCAAATAGGGAAGCAAGTTGGGAGATAAGAGGACTGGGTGATAGGTTACAGAACCAGGAGGAAGTAACAGTTTTATACCTGAAAAACAAGAAATACTAGTTTAAACATGTTTGGTTGGAGACTTGCTCTGATGCTGAATGTGATAGGAAAAATGTATACTTTAAAAAGCACAAGGAACAAGTGGAAGAGCAGGAATAAGAAGGGGCAACAGTAAGCTCATTCCTGCACTTTAAACCAATGTAAATGAAGCAGTAAGAGAAAGAAATCAGGGTTTACAAGAAAAAAATGTACTTGAACAGAATTATTTTGCTATAGAAAATCAGGGCCCTGTGAAGCTACTATTTAAGTATTTCCTATATCTTGCTTCTTGGAGATGTGAAATATATCAGGAATCTAAATGGAATCAGGGAAAGCTTAGAAGAGAAGGTGAGAAAGAATAGCAGTTACAGTTACAATTCCCACGCAGCACCCAAGAGAGCACATCCTGTAAATGACAGTCACCTACAATGTTTGGAGAGCATTGGCATGTTCTCGCGATAAAGTTCAGAAGTCAGGGTACAGCCTATGTTGCCTTCTGAACCATAACTGCAGTGGTGCCGCCGAGGGATGCACTGATCACACTCATGCATTCATCAGAGCCCATTAGTTATAAGGCAATATCATACTATTTTTTCTTACTTTTAACTGCCTCAAAGTCACTACATTTTAAAGTTATTCTCATCACAGTTTACTTTCTTGGTCCTAAAATTTCATCAGAGGCAGACAACCACTAGTCACTGTTTCCTTTATCATTACTGACTGGAAATTACCACCTTAATCTTTTATTTTGTTATACAATTCTTGTTTAGTTTAGTAAGCCTAGACCTTAGTCTCTAGCTTTTTGGTTATAGATGGCTTTTCAGCTTCTCCATGTGTCTTGAAAAGCCTGACGCTGGGGGAGATGAATCCAGCAAATCAATGTCATCCAGGTGTAATGGTTCTCAAATGCCTTTGTTCTATGCTAGAATCATCTTGATATCTCTTGAAAATGCAGATTCCCTCTTCTACAGCATAGATAAGATAGTCATTAACTTAATAATATATTATTAGAACATATACTAAGATGTAATCTATGATATATAAATATGTGATCTTTATATATATGTGTTATATATATATATAACATACAGGAATAGAGGTACCTGTAATATATATATATTACAGGTACCTCTTCTTAGATTTTAGTTAAGTAAATCTGGGAGGAAAAGTCTTGTTTTTAAAAGCTCTCAGGAAGTTCTGATTTGTAGGCTGGCTTGAGAATTAGTAGTAGAATTTGTAGTGCTTCCTATGAATTAGATTCCTGGTTCTGGTCACTACCACCCAATAACTGCGTGGCCTTGGGCAAACATTGAGGTTTATCTAAAAGATACTTCCCTAACTCACCTCACTTAGTTATTTTAGGAAAAAAATGGCATGATGTAAAGCCCTACATAAATTCATTATCATGACACTCAGTGTCACCTTTTTTGGGGCCTGCTGCTGGAAACTTGGGACCTACTCCTTTTTCTGTTGTCTATCTGCATCTTATCTGGAGGAATGTGCAATCAGGCAGGCATCATAGCGTGACACAGAGGGGGTGATTATACTTTTCAGACCAAGTATAATGTCATTCGGATGATTTGGAGACAATGCAAAAGTGATTCATTATCATGACTTGGAGGTGACAGATCATTATTAATGAGACTTGTTCAGAGAGAAAATGTCTTTGTCTTTTTGAGGATTCCTAGGACTTGTCTCCTTGTCTGTGACCCAAGCCGTGACCCCAGATAGCCAACCCATCTTTGATTTTATGTTGGCAGGAATTTCTCCAGGATAAGCACCTGTTCCATGGGGATGTGGCAGCCAGGAACATCCTGATCCAAAGTGATCTCACTGCCAAGCTCTGTGGCCTGGGCCTGGCTTATGAAGTGTACACCCAAGGGGCCATATCCTCCACTCGCACCATACCTGTCAAGTGGCTCGCCCCGGAATGGCTCCTGTTGAGACCAGCTGGCATCAGAGCAGACATGTGCGGTTTGTTCCTGATCTTTGCATTTCTTCCCTTCTTGACATAGGTGTCTTCCCGTCCCCGACCATGACTAGATCTGTTGTCAGTTATGTCCACAAGTGACCTCTCTACTTAGAAGTCAGGGTCACAAGCAGAAATGTGTGAAATGTGACAGAGCTCATATTTGGCACCTGGCTGCAATCCTTTTTAGTGCCTTTGAAGTATTCCTTCTGTATGAGAGTAGCAGCCTGAGTTAGGAAAGGAAAAATAAAAATCAAAAGAGTATTCATACCAGTATCCAAGGACTTAATCTAGTAGAGTTCCTTTTATGTGAAGGAGGTGGGTCCACTTAAAAGTTCAGTTAAACCAAGAATTATTAAAATAAAAAGAACTACACATACCTAAAATTATTTAATTTAAAACAGATAAATAGATACTTATTTGTCAATCTTTTGGTAGAGGGCCAAAGCCCTTTTTGTAAGGGTGGACCTGCTAAATGAAGCTATATGTTGTGTTTCTTGTATAAATAGCATCCATAATGAATTATTTTTGAGTTTCAGTTTGGGATTCTAAATAGAGTGAGAAATTGGAAAACAGTTGTGAAGCAACCTGACTGCAGACATTTATTGTTATTTTTCCCAGTTTTCTATAGTTGCCTCACCCATACAATTTGACAACACTTTCTTTTAAGCAGCTTTTTTTTATAGAATATTTTCAATACATTCAACCCAGTTTTCAGGGAGGCAATCAATACATTTTTGCATTTATATTTAATCAGCTTACAAAATATTCAATTGATTACATAATTACAGTTACACATATGATTGGCATAAGC